TACCCTGAGGAATTCCAGCCTGATATGCTTACCCTGAGGAATTCCAGCCTGATAATATGCTTACCCTGAGGAATTCCAGCTTGATATGCTTACCCTGAGCAATTCCTGGTGGATAATATTCTCACCCTGAGGAATTCCAGCCTGATAATATGCTTACCCCTTACCCTGAGGAATTTCAGCCTGATAATATGCTTACCCTGAGGAATTCCAGCCTGATAATATGCTTACCCTGAGGAATTCCAGCCTGATAATATGCTTACCATGAGGAATTCCAGGCTGAAAACTACCCACACCTGAGGATTTCCGGGCTGAACACAGTCCAATACCTGAGGATTTCCAGTGTCCTCGATAGGGGGGGTACGCATATTAAATGATATAGCCCATTGCCTATATATGATGAAATGCGATAATTGGAAACAATACGAAAGGTCGAAAGCGGGTCGATGTTGCTACAATAATTTTACAACTAGTGGTCCAAACTAAAAGTGACAATTTAGTTGGTTTTAAAAACTATGTGACACCTTTAATATTTCATTTATATGCAGTACAGAACTATATATACAAGTTATATATCGTCAGTCTTTAATTGTAACATTTGGATTTGGACCTATTGTATGTATGTACAAGATTTAAATGTATTCCAATAAATGTTTGAAGTTTATCCCACATTGGCAAAAAAATCACAAACTGCTTGCAAGGGCTGCATGATTGAATAAATTAGCCAAACTGCCTAAACACAGTTGCATATTGCCAATGGCAATAGTGTTTTTTTTTTCCTTTGAGGGCAAAATTTAACAATACATATAAATGTCCTATGTTAATAACACTACTATTGGCAGGTTTCAGGTATTGTTTTCATAGTGATTTGAGTGGGGGTCAACCTTAATTGCTTCAACCGTTATGCTGAACAGGAGTGAGCAAATGATACAAAATTGCATATATTTGCTATGAAGCACAAAGCCAACAAATACAGTGAACAATTAACTCACTCCAATTTACCGTCTCGATTTCAAGGCATCACTTCCACTGGAATTATGACGTCACATGAAACCCAAGAATGCATGACAAAATTCTGCAGGGTTATATGGCAAGACTATAAAGGGCATCAGCTGTATTATTAGTTGTATATACCGTATATTTTTGGGTTTATTTATATTAGGTAATAGTCTCAAAAAAATTTAGTATAAAGTAGCTATCAAAATTACTCAATAAATAACAAAGTTTAATGAAAACAAATGAATCTCCCTGGCTCATGGACTAGAGGGAGCAAGAAATGGTGTTTCTGCAACTGGTATCTTAAATATCAAACATTTCTGTACATCCAAATTGCTCATCAAATGTGATATAACAACTATACCTATGACAAAAAACAACTTGAAGTTTCAATCTAAGGACCTTCATCAGGAAAGTTAATCAAAGATACTGCAACCATGCCATGCTTGCACAAAGTTACACAGTGCTCTAAGACTTCACAAAACCAAAATAATTGAAAATTATTTCTCTCTTACATTTATCTGCCTTCACAAAATCTACCATACTGGTTGAAATGTTTTGGGATGATGCTAAATCATATGAATTATAGTATATAATAGAGGATACTGTAATTGGCAATCGCTGTTACGGAAACCCTGCCAAATTAAATTCTACTGGATTTCAAAACACTGAAAAGTGACATCAATGTGCTCTTGTCTTCAAGTGTCATCAATTTGCTCTAACCCTCACCTCCCAAATAAACATCACAAAGGGTAGATCCTATATTTCCTAGGAAATGTGCCCCTATAATGCATAATCTCAGCACTTATTCGGTAACGTACTTCTAGCAGCGCTAGAACACAGCTTAAACGGAAATCAGAGGAACAACTATTGCGCTGGATGTACAAGTAAAGCAACGCTTGAACAACACCGCACTAACTCGAACTAATGAATTGCCTTCTATGGTAATAGCATTATCTTAGTTATCGCACGATCGGATTGTATTACCATAGTTTGCGTGCCAGTTACGTCTGATTTAATGAGGGCGAGAACTATATAAACGCTCGTACAATTACATATAAAAAAAGAAATATACAAGAGATATATACGAGAGAGAGATATATACAAAACTGTACATAGAAGGAAATATATATTCCAAAACTTCACTGGTGTGGGACTGATTGATATTACGACGATGGTACAAGCCTGAAGTACCCAATTGCTAGTTTGCTAATGGTCCCTGGGACACGGACACACCCAGTTTTACGGTTCAACGTTACACTATCAAATATATTTTTATAACTATCAGTCTATCAAATATATTTTTTATTACTTATATAAATTGTTAAAATTGTCTTTTATGGCTTTACTTACTAAATGCACTATGTTTGGCATTGATATTTATTTTCCAGACAAGCATTCATATTATAGAAATCTTATTTAGCAAATCAATATCTATAGCAAAACACATAATTGGCTATATTAAAACCATTTGATACTTGCCAGCATTCATGTTATAGAAAAAATGTGTGTATTTTGTTTGTGCTGTTAGTTGGTATGATAGGTGTTATATTGGAACACCCATAATGTAACCACTATAGCATACATAGTATTGTCCTTTACAATTATACTAACGTTATATTTCAGCCCTGTTTGCACTACACAAACTTTATTGGCACAGCATAACAAAAATTCGTTCCTACATTCAATTTTATTTATATGTTCAAGCTACCAGTACAAAGGCTGAGCATGGATTTTTAGAAATGCCTGGCTAATAATAAATGAAGTATAATGTAGAAACAGCCATACAGGACCTTTCTTTTGGTTGTTCAGTACAGGAATATGGCTGCTCTTCCTGCCATTAATTGCACTATGCAAAATTTAAGCAATTTAATGACCACTTTGCGAATAAAATAAATTCCAAATGCACTTTGATCAAAAAATCTACAGAACCATGTAATATCTTATGGGGCGTTTTCGCAATGTCCAGCTGTTAGGGCAAAGATAAAATCTTGCACAAACAAACCTAAATATTTTTGTCATAAAGGGTAGGAAAGTATACCTTAAGGCATTATACACCCATGCAGGTATTCAAACTAGTCGTATTCAAACTAGTCAAGAAACGAAGTCCAGCCGAATTGTTAACAACATTTAGTTCAAAAGTGTACTGAAAGCAATGGCCGTGGTTCCTGCCCTAACTGCAATGCAGCATACTTCATGCTCAAAATGACCACAATGTGGAATGTGCGGTCACGCGTTGGGAGGAACATTCGAACTCTCCAGTAAGAAAATGAAGTATTCTCCTCAAGCAGTAGAGGTTTATGAAAATATATTTAGCGTCAAAACCAGCACAAAAGATTATCGCTGTTTTGTTACCACCGATGGTACTATGTGGTTTTGTAGTGTGGAGGCCTGCAAGATTGTAAGAAATTTGGAATATTTCCTATTCCCAAAATTAGTTAAAATAAAACCCCGACATCCGCTGACACCAGGCAGATATCAAACCACAGCCAACAGGTATCAATGATCATTATGCAATCTTGAACAACAAGGAGCAATGCTTCCACAAGGACAAGGAGCAATGCTTGACTTTTCTCTGAACTTGATTCACAAAAGTGCATTATACACTAGAATTGCACCATCGTGGAAACAAACCAGTCACACAGAAATGGGAACGAAATTGTTATATAATTTTACGTTCTTTTGTATTACTGATTAATTACATCGATTGCGCAGAAAATTATGCTTCGCGTTTTTGGACAACGGAAAACGACAGAGTTGCTCTTTTTTGCTTGATTATTCACGCAATCTTAGTCTACCAACAGATTGCTAACGAGCTCCATATTAATTGGTTGGAACGAGAAATACAAATCATCACGATGTTCCTTGATTGCCAGTACACTATCATGATTCTCAAAATCTTGTTCAGTCAAGTTTAAGATTGATTCTTCAATGGGTGGGGTGGTAAAATAGTTGTTGAATACTGAGCTAGGTAAAATGTTATTCACAACATTCAAGGAGACTTGAAAAGCTACCCCTCGGTATGATTATATAAGATATAATCACTACAAATTATTGCAGATTTTATTGCGTTTGGATGCAATCACAAGTTTCAATTCATATATACGCTGGGGCATGCTGGGATATGACAGAACATAATTTACTACAATGATTGAACGAGCCACCACTAAGTATAATAACAATGCAATTAACTACAATGCAAAACTGAAGACATTTTTGAGAATTTTTGTACTGAACTGAGATAAATTCATTCTCATTCCTAAATTATGTAACCAAAATTTGATCAACACGCTGATTGACTTAATAAGAAGAATCTGGATAGTGTTTAGAAAATTTGTGTATATTGTCACAACCGCCACAACGTCGCTTGTGTGTGAGTTGAACTCGATCAAAATTTTTCCAATTCCTGTATACTATTACCTAGATTATTCTATAACCAGCTATCATTAGCTGCTTAATCATAACAAAATATACACAGCTAAATGCAATATCTGCAAGTTATACACACGGGAACACACACACGAATGAATTTTGTGCTTCATATGCGAGTAGTTTACAATTGTAAATCAACAAATCAATGCAAGAGATGTTAAAATACCATGCATATATACATGTTTAGTACCGGACTTGATTTTTCGCAACATTCTGAGATCACAGTTAACAGCAGGACGTCTTGGGTGATTTTGTTTAATTGTTTGGATGACTTGATGAAAACATCATGCCATAAGACGAAACAAGAAATGACGGGTTTGGGACAGGTCTATACCGATCACTTTACGAAGCGTGAGAGGACTTTGAGGTATTGAAACAAGTCTTTATGACACCAAACAAGCACATGCTATTGTTGTGGTGATTATACGACTACAAGGATCATGTTATCTGCTCATTTCAATACCTCAAAATTATCTCACGCTTCGTTGAATCTCGGGTAACCTGGCTCATGTTAACAGCCTCTTAAACAGAAAGAGAAAAACGGGAAACTTAATCAAAATCGTCATATACCAGGCAATCTCGCACTCATTTTTTAGTAAATCAGCGCTCGGAAGGGTTGTCTGTCAAAATACTAATTCATTCTGCAATATTAAATGGTTTATATCTTATGTTATTCTTTATAAATTAAATATGAACTGACTTGAAGAAATTTTGTGATTATGCATGTTAAGTAATACGAACTATAGCTCTGACATAAATTTGAAACCGTAATAAAATATATTTCAAGTTGTTTCAACCGAGAAATGGATTTTCATCACAACTACCCCCAGTCCCAGTCCTCAACCGCCATTCCAGATCACCTGGAACAACAAACATTACATTTCTCACGTAACAAATACTTATCATGCATGTGATAGTAAAGTTAATAATAAATAACCCTGTTTAAGGAAATGGAGAGAACCGAATGACTTCAATAGGTATCGACTACATAGTATCGCTTGAGAATACAAAACAGTAATACTACAAAAATCGAAAAACTTAACACAAAGTAGATCACGTCTCATGACTCTCATCTGTAAAGTTTTGTTTAATATTTACCGGAAATAACGCAATGATTTCTAATTCATCAAAATATGTAGTCGATATAATAATTTCTTGATTCAAAATCCTACCGAAGGCTTCATCAAAATCTTTCTCAGAAAAAGTAATGATTTTTCCAAATCCTGCAAGGTTTGCCTACAGAGCATAATTTAATGCTAGTAGTATTCAATCAACTTAAAATGCGAGATCTTGCAACCATGATATTATAAAAATCATATCACCATTAAAGCCATTCAAGGTGCCTCCATGACAAAGCTTTACTGCAGTTATCATAGCGACGTTTTATTTTAAACGCTGTCGACTAAACACTTGTATTTGAAAGCGAAAAACAGAATTGGAAGAGTATAGGTTCGTTTCTTGACATACACAATGATACAAGTGTCTTGTCCTGGTAATATTCTGTCGTAGGTACGACAGTATGTTTTTCCAGGTCGGCTGTAAATACGAGTAATTCTATCATGAACAGCTTTTGAATCAGCCCCTTTAGCATTTAAAACTTGTCAATATTTTGCTGCATCCAAGAGCATATAAAACTTGCCATGAGAAATGTCATTGGTGCATGGCTCTTTTTGAAATTGAGGATTATATTTTGCCCTGTAATTCGACGTGTAGCACTAAACCATTCTCAACGATTGGATAGACGAAATAGGGATAATTAACGCCAGAAGTTAGTTTGCGCTCAGACAAACGACTGGCTTTACAATAAATTAAAGACAATGACACATTCACACAACGTTATTTACTGTCGTAGGTATCTCCAACATCCTAAGTTCCACAGTTTTCTTCGCCATATCCAGAGCGGTCTCTCGCCGTTCTTGTATCTCTGTTGACTGGATATTTTCTCAAGGTATGGACGACCCTACGAGAGAGGAAAAATCTGAAAATAAGAGGATGGGACTGAAGAATTCTGGGTCGAAAGAAGACTGTAGTATATTGTCATGCGGGGCTTAGCTCCATAGTTTGTAAGAATAATACAGCCAAAATTGGATTGGCCAGGAGTCGAATTCACGATGTCACGTACTAACGACCGCGCTGGTCGAAAACTTCTCAATTCATTAAAAACTGATCTTATTATACACTGGATATACACTATACTGAAAACAAAGGCAGGGGCCTCAAAAAGCCCCCAAATTGGTGGTTAGAACTTTAGTTTACATTCATTTATGGTATAAATGGCACGCACTGCATCACAGTGAAAAACGACTTGAGTCACATAGCGTTTCAACAAATTAAGATTTGCACGCATCAAGGTTGATTCTGGTAGTGGATAATTCTAATCATTCATAAAGATATTTCCGTCATCATACCCTTGCCCATTAGGAACAGCTTACTAGCACTAGCTTGCGAATACCTTCCTTTCATAGATGCATACAAGCTTATTCATATGATTTCATTTATGATTTTACCTGGGTTTGCCCAGTTCGACTGTGACGTCATTGACGTCACAGTCATGTTATAAATCTATAGACAACATCGTATATTCTATTCTGAAGGTTAATATATTCCTCTAAAGGTATACTAAACATCGTGGGAAATACACATTACGTGAATTCATTGGTTGCACGATCCTATAAAAAGTCCAGGGATACTAAAACATCCCGTGCGCAATTTATTTATCACGAAGGAATCTGCGTCGGATTTAATCGTTGTATTTAGTCGTTTTGCATGTGTAATGCCTGATCCATCGGCTGCGGCTGCGGTTCCTAACTTGAACGGTGTGTCAGAAGGTAAACTAATATACTTTTATAGTCACTAGAGGCAAAAATATATTCAATATGTCAAATATCAAGTATTCAAAATGTCAAATAATAAAGAACGTCTCCACTTCCGGTTGGTTTAATAATTGATTACTGTAACTTATTCGGTTCCGCTATAACGGTTTTCGTTACATAACTTATATTTCACGGCTCAAGAAAAATACGCCTTTGCAGAACTATCAAGTGTGGGCACCACAAGTTAATATCAATTCCATGCCAGAACTTTAGGAGGTAAAAGTAGGTGGGGGAGATGTGTGTGGCTTGGACCCTTCGGCCCCCTGCCCTCGGGATGATGTGTGTGGCTTGGACCCTTCCACCCCCTGCCCCTTATTTTACAGCAAAACTCCTAGCCTTTAGGCAAAACGTCTAAATGGCATTAAATTTTGAAAGGTATAATAAAATATATAAAATGATAAAGTACATAAATGAAATGATTCACCAATCATGTCTCACTCTAGTTCCTACTGTAGTTTCTGGCATCCCAGAAATATTGGATTATGCTCTCAACCCCAACAGTTTGTTAGAAGGTAAACTTTTTTATAGACACTTCCTTTCAAACCAGCATGAAATTCTTACAAGAATAAGTGACAAGACCCACTTTAGTACACAAAAAAATTATCAATCATACCTCTCACTGTAGTTCCTAGTATACCAGAAACATTGGGCCATGCTCTCAATCCAAACAGTTTGTTAGAAGGTAAACTAACATACAATTATAGCCACTTCCTTCCAAACTTGCAGGAAATTTTGACAATTAAGGATAAGTGACAATTCCTCACTCCGGTACACCAATTAAAATATTCAATCATTCCTCTCAATGTAGTTTCTAGTATACCAGAGACATTGAATGGTGTCCAATCAGAAACAGTTCGAAAACCAACCAAAGAGACACAAACCTCAGGGATGATGAATGACATCCATTACTTCTAGAATGATGAAAACAATTTGATATGAACAAATAAAGTCATTATTTTTAAGTATATTTTCTTAGGTAAAACCTTCACTTTTGTATGACTTTTGTAAGAAAAATAGTGTATAATGTCTCTCTTATGCTAATTCTAAACTTGTGACATAATAATAGGATATATAAGTAATATAAGAGTGAAGACTCTGTCATAAGTAATGACAAAAAGTTGCAAACAATTGAAAGCAATAAAATAGAATAGGGAATGAATGGAAAAGACCAGTAGACTCATGAATGAAATGAAAGTTAAGTGAAAAGGTTGATTCTTTTAAATATTATTAGACCACATGTTTATGCAATTATAAATTTCTGAACTGCCTTTCCAGGCTTAATTTGAATCTTGTGATATTAGGACAATGATAGTCCAAGTATGTATTGAGTATGTAGTGAATTCTAATTTCATCATAGGCAGCCCAGACACATTTTCGTTCTTGTGGTGCTCGCGCATGTACGCGTGTCTACTCAGTCTATAATAATAGACGCCACAGGAACGAGAGTTGCCACAAGAATGAAAGCATTGTCTGGACTGCCTATGATTTCATTAGCGACATATTTGGGCCAAAATAAATTTATAATAGTATAAAATTACACATTACTCTCCTGAAACCTAACAACTAAACGTTTTTACATTCTATTATTATTATAATAAGTTAACTGCTGATGTTAGTTTTATCTAGATAAATTGAACATGTAACAGTAAAGAGTATATCCAGTGCAATCCTCATTTAATACCACCCTAAAATAATTCTAAAATGGTGTTGAGGAATAACACACCCCCCCCCCGTTTTGTCCCTGCCACCAGAATGATTTTTTGATTTTCCCTATTTGGCCTTAGGTATAAACTGCTTTGTTATGCAAGCTTCTCGAAAACTATAGAGTATCCCATCATGCATTACAGCAGCATGTTTCAGTAAATAAAGTTAATAAACCCACAGTTTTACTTTTACATTTTATTAAAATTAGGAAGCGTTCTCCTTCGTTGGACGCAAAAATTGTATAGATTATTTTCATATTCTGATATTGAAATATTACACGTGTCATATTACAATAGCACCAAAATCACAAGAGACACCATAGGCAGCCCTGAAATAAAAGTGCACTAAAACATTGAAAATTAGAACAAAGCTATCCGTATTTTGATTAAACTGAAACATGTATCATTTATTCATGCTAACTAAAATCCTGACATCCTGTGTATATTACACAACAGGCGACTCGCGTACCTGACAGTGTTCAGGCAATGTAGGCATTATATAGTATATATATATATATATATATAATATATATATATAATAATATATATATATATATATATATATAGGATATATATATATACTATATAATGCCTACATTGCCTGAACACTGTCAGGTACGCGAGTCGCCTGTTGTGTAATATACACAGGATGTCAGGATTTTAGTTAGCTTGAATAAATGATACTTGTTTCAGTTTAATCAAAATACGGATAGCTTTGTTCTAATTTTCAATGTTTTAGTGCACTTTTATTTCAAATAAAACCATTCACCATTGGGCTGCCTATGGAGACACTTGGCGAATTTAAACAGATAAACTAGCGGCGCGATTTTTCATTTTCCAAAAGCAAATAAATTTTAAACTATCATAATATTCTTGTAGATTACTTAAAGATTAGCCTCCTCCGCAGGCATCTCTTATATATTTATATTAGGCATTTATACTAACCCAAGCCAAATATAAATGCCTATATAAATATATAAGAGATGCCTGCGGAGGAGGCTAGGACGCTAGAGGAGTCAAAATGTTTTATTGAAAAATTAAAAACGTTGAAAATTCGTCTGTCCGAGCTGTGTCCGTTTGTAATATAACGCGCTAATATCGCATATCATTAACATTCCAATGATTCCCGAAAATTTGGCCCCCTACTGATGGAACTATTTGACTAACTCTGGTGCTCTGGATCGCAAATTTTGCTCCAGAAATTAATTTATATGCTTCTGAAAACTGAAAATTCGCGTCGCGTTGCCGCATTGCGTCCAATCCGGTCTGTGTCTACCTTAGATCCCTATTATTGATCACAGGTCCGCGCTCGCCAACTAATCAGAGACAGAGTAAAGTATTTTTAAAAGCTATATATGTTAAATATGTTTTAGCAATACGTCACTTTTTAGATTTGGGTAGGTGGCGTTATAGGTTCAGTTAATACAAAATAAACAGATTCCGAAGAGAGACATCTTATATTCTTAGTCAGGACTGAATTCCATGTGATGTCCTCGTCTTCCAGGGGACAATTCGAAAACGAGGCGTTTTAAAACGTCTTGTCTTTGTGCTAATATATATATAAAGATCAAATATAGCTTGAATTACTGCCGTACAGATTGGGATTTATAAAATCATGTTAAATATTATACATATAAGAAAATATTTTAAAATAAACTAACCCGCAAACAAATAAATATTGTAGCGTGTAAGTAAGTTACTTGAACTGATAAGTAAGGACTGGTAAGTAATACTTGAACATCATGATAGTCATAGTCACGACTGTATACAATTCACCCGATATTTCTAACAACTAGAATTACGTTACATTCTAACAATACCTGGCCTATGTCTCCTATAACTCGCCAGTCATATATACGCCATTTGTGTAGATTTTTGCTGCGTACCTTGGTTTTACTTGGCCGTACCGAAGGCAAGAAGGAAAATCTGTAATCTGTCCGTCTTCCGTCAACACATAAAGGGTCCTTCGGTGAACCGTGACCCAATTCACCAACAGCCTTGTTCACGAACTCACGGTCTGCTTCCACTTTGGGAAATCAGAAAATCCTTTTTTCTCCTTATTTTCACTAAAAATTCCTTTAAAAAATTGCAAAATTTCCTTCACATTTCCTTCAAGCAATTAAAAGAAATTATGTTGAATATGCTGTAAAAAAACCTTTTCTCAAAATAGGATCATCGTAATGTTCAATTTTATCATTGCTCTAAAGTCTGAATACAACTATACTTCGTACAGTAAACTGACAGAGCTAAAACTATAAACAGAATTGCATTATTCAAAATAGGCCCGTAGCTTCAAAAGTCATAGTTTTGGCCTCAATTGACCTTAAATGAATGAACAATCAAAACTTGCATTTAAATTTATATAAATTACGTGCATATAAAAGCGTGAAGGGAAAAGATGGCTACTTTGAATGTTTTAGATGTAATTATTATAATTTATTTTACACAATTACTATGATTTATACAAAATAGGTATTAAACGAAGTATTTCAAGTAAATAATGGCATTTATTCTATTTGTTAATTATTTTTCGGTTAATAAGTGTTATGCGCAAGGTCTATTTAGTCAGATTTAGGCTTATTTTACGCTTTTTTTTTCAAAAAGATCTAAATATTACTAATTTTGGTAAATTTCCTTTAAAATTTATTTCCTTCAAATTTGCTTCATCTTACAAAAAAATTATTTTAAAAGGAAATTTCCTTCAAAGTGGAAGCGCTGCTCAAAGCATCAATGCCGTCGCAAAAAAGGTCACAGGTGAAATTTGATTAACAGGTGAAACTTAATTAACTATGTATTTGGCTATGTATTTTAGAAACGCCCTCCACTGATGATTGGCTGCGACTCTAATCCGCTGTCAATCAAGAGTAAATATTGTTAATTTGTAACGTTTAAATTTGTAGACAGGAGTCAGGACCTCTCTCCTCCGCAGAGGCTAAGAGAGAATAATACATGTGCAGGCGTATTACCTGGAATAATACATGTGCAGGCGTATTACCTGGAATTGTGTAGGCGCGCGGGCTTTAGGTAGGCGCGCGGGGTATACATTTCCAGGTAATACGCCTGCACATGTATTATTTTTAATAATTCTGGTATCTAACAGCCTCTGCGGAGGAGAGAGAGTCAGGACACAGGCGGCAGGCGTCTGGTCTTGGCGGAATTTATTGACGATTGCGTTCGCTCGGCTCTTCAAAAACTAAATAATTTTCGAAAGTCGAAACGCGAACTGATTCTTAAACGCGAGCAAAAGATAGCGTTAAAGCTTTACTCCTTGGGAAGCATGTTTTAACCGTTCTACCACTGGTTCTACCTAATAGTTATGATACCGTTCTACCTACTATAGTTACTTTACGTGCAAGAAAATGTTGGCAAATATAAATATAAAGAGCGCAGTAGCGTTCTTGTTGTTTTATCTTCACGCTGTATTACTGTATAGGAGATCAAATTATTCAAATAGGCGAAATGGTTTCGCCTTTCGATGGAAACGTTTCAGACGTCGCCATTCGCCAAGTTTCTACCGCAATATATTTTAATATACAATCGCGGCTAGCGCATATACCTATTTACATTGAGAATTTATTTCTATCAACTATTGAGGCTTAGGATTCTCATACACTATTTTCAATGCCAGGCAAATTCACTGGGGAAAAAGAATTACTGATACACTCACACACTGCGTATTTATAAATATATAAATAATATATGATGTACAAATTTTCCGAAAATATATAAACACCAGGGGCGGCGAACATAAAATATTTTGGGGGGGGCTAGTCTCCGAGGCACCACCATGGTTGGCGCCGAGCGAAAACTTTTTGGAATTTCAATGCTCTAGATCTTCGGAAATGGCCATCTCCGAGTTTTACTTGCCGCTTTCATCGTAGTTTTTCATGGGCAAACACAACTGAACTGAAACGGCACATCTCAAATTCTCAAAATAATTTCCAAACAAAATGGCGGTCCGAAAATAATAACAATATACAACCACGAATATTCTGCTGTTAAAGACAACTAAGAAAGATCAAAGAAAGTCAATTTACATTCACTTGATCCGTATCACAATATAGGATATCTTATTAGAATTTAATATGCCGGCGAGCATTAATTTTACGACTTCGTGGTAACATAATTTGTATATTTAATCTCCCATTCTGGCATTCTTCATGAATTTTTTGGGGGGGCTAAGCCCCACTTTTACTTCTGGGGGGGCTAAAGCCCCCCTAGCCCCCCCTGTTCCGCCGCCCCTGATAAACACGACATCTATTCTGTCGCCTCATACACAAACAACGACAGTGGCATTTACATTTTCCGCGCTGGCTCTTCTACCTCTTGTCCTGGTTTAAACGTTCTTTGGTGTTTCTTTTGAAATCTAATCATAGTTAGAAAAGACACATAACTTTTATACTTAGTTTTTTTGGGGATTGATTGTATTGGTTAAATTGACGTTTAAATTACACAATAAATTCAGAGTTGTTACGAGTTTGCAATAAACGCCTCCCTTGAATAAACGCCGCCCTCGAATAAACGCTAAATTGCTTAATTGCTAAAAATTTAATAAACGCCGCGGCGTTTATTCGAATAATTACGGTATTTGTTCCTCTTGGAGGAATTGCCGTATCATGCGAGCGAAATCGAATCGCGCATCGGAGAATTAGCCAAAGCTGTACACCACAACTCTTGGGAGATAAGACTGGGACGTAGATAAATACGGTTACATACACATTTCAAATACTGGAATGGTTCGCGCCATTTCAGACTTGCGACGACGAAAAATAATAAAAAACAAAAAAAACAAAACAAAACCGAGGCGAATTTTCAACTCCGTCGCTGACGCCGGAGTAATTATACTAATATATCGAAAAACCAGACTTCGAATCATAAATAAACATACAGCAGGAAAATAATATCCCAGTTATTAGTTATTGCAGTTTTGTTATTATAATATTAACTGTTCGTGGATTGGCTAATTGCGCTGGGACTGAAAAGGGGCGGTTCCACGGTTGACAATCAGTGGCTAAGCAGAGCGAGAACGCAATGAATTTTGGGGAGGACGCGACGGAGAAATGGAGCTTTCTTTCCCGCGTCCTCTCCAAAACTCCTTGCGCACTCGCTCAGCTTAGCCACTGATCTATGTAAAATCCTGTAGTGTTCCTATATTTATCTTATTTAAAGCGCCTGGGAACGAGGCTGGTCTTCCTACTATACTTGGCAGTGCTGACCCTTCATAAAAAGACCCCAATTACACGAGAGAGCCCCTGCCATATATGGTGTATATAGCCTTATCTGTCACTTGCGTTTCTCCTGCGGTAATCAGCGGTTATTAAACGCGACAAACAGCCGTGTTAGTTCGTTTACAATTATAGACCAAAGTCCAAAGATGTTTGGCACGTTTAATAACTGGAGTTAGAGAGTTGAAATAGGACTAAGATGCTCTGTTTAATTTGTAATATTGCTTGTTTCTTACGCTTTTTCTAGGTATCTTTCCATATCCTTTACATAACTAGATCTCCCTCAATTAATGTCAATCAATCCCCTAATCAATATCAAGTCTATATTTAGCTATTACTGTCCGTGCCTATATATATATATACATTACATCTCTCCCTTTGTTTAATGAATTATCAAGTTTGGGTTTATTGCATTTCCAAAAAGTTCTCTCTGTCTACGCTGCCTTGTTGACCTTCTCACCACTGGTTCTGGCGTTGGTTCATCCGCTGCTCGTTCGATGAGTGCATTTCCTGTCGGTGCGTTCCAATCATCTTCATCTTCGGATTCCTTTGCGGCGTCTGGTATCTTCTTAAAGAACGATACATTTCTTGTCACCTTATGTCTTTGGTTTTCAGCTACTATTGTCACTCCTTTACGTTCAAGCACCGTGTAAGGAGTTGGTTCGAACTTGGTTGTAAATTTGTTTTTCTTTTTCTGTCTAAGAATGACTGTGTCTCCCACTTGTATCTCTGACGGCGCCACTCTCCTTCGTTTGTTTGCGTATTCTCTCCCTTTGTCTTTGGCATTGGAGTCATTCGATTTGGCTTCTTTATGTCTGTTTAGTACTTTAGCTTTTGGGTTCAACATGGGTAGACTCCTCTGACAGGCCGATTAAAGAGAAGCTGAGCGGGCGGTATGTTGGTAGAACAATGGGGTGTGGTGCGATAGCTTAACAGGAACCTCGAAAGTTCTTGGACCCAGTTACGATGTTCTGAACGAGCGGTCTTGATTGCTTTTGCAAAGGTTTCATAAAAGCTTCTGCTTCTGAGTTACCTTGTGGCCATTCAGGTGTTGATGTCTCATGTTCTACGCCAATCTTTGTTAAATAATCTTTGAATTCTTTACTATTGAAAGGAGGACCGTTATCCGTCTTTATTTTCAGTGGAATTCCATGTCGCGCGAAGATAGCATCGGTTTTTGGTATAAGTGCTTTAGCAGATGTACTTGTGATGATTTCAGCCTCCGGGTATCTTGATATTTATCAATTAACACTATGATATACTGTCCGGTGGGAAGCGGGCCGTAGAAATCTGCATGTACAGTTTGCCAAGGACCGTCCGGCGTTTCTGGAGTTAGTAAAGGCTGGGGTGGATCGGTTGGACCATTAATTTGGCACGGAAAGCAGGTATCGATCTCTTCTTTTACAGCTTTATCAATGTTAGGGAACCAGGCATACTGACGTAACAAGGCTTTTGTTTTGACAAGTCCTTGATGACCGCTGTGGGCAAGTTTTACTATCTTCGCTTGTAGAGTTGATGGTATTATAATACGTGTTCCTCGGAGGATTACACCATTTGTATGGTCCACTGTTATTTCATCTTTGACGTTTATGAATGGTTTTACATGACTGCTGCCCCAGTTACCAGACTCAACTGCTTCTCTTACTGCATTGAGACTGGGATCCTTTTCCGTATGTTCCTTGATAACTTGTATTGGAATTGTGGTTTGCGCGGCATTAGTCGAGATGAAGTTTATGTATTCTTCAGCAAGTTGTGTTTTGGTATCTTCGATTGCGGATGTCGTGACAGGAAATCTGCTGGGTTAACACTGCCTGGTTTGTAGATAACATTGAAATGGTATTGCTGAAGTCTTAGAAACCAACGTTCTATTCTAGCTGGAGGTTTGGACCGAGGATTGTTGTAGATCAACTGTAATGGCTTGTGATCAGTAATTAGGTTGAAAGGTGCACCGAACAGGTAAAGGTGAAAATGTTCAATGCCCCACACGATCGCGAGAGCTTCCCTCTCGGTTTGTGAGTACCGTTGTTCTACTGGGGATAATGCTCGGCTGGCATAAGCGATAGTGTTGTCTTCGTTTGTTTTTGGATCCTTTTGCGTCAATATGGCAGATAAACCAACGGGACTTGCATCCACCAGGACTGAGGTTTCTTTGGATGTATCGAAATGGCTCATAACTGGACTGTTAGTCAGAGCACTCTTTAGGTCTTCATATGCTTTCTGGTGTATTGTCGTCCATGTAAAACGAGCGTTTTTTTGGGTCAACTTTCTGAGTGGCTCTGTAATGGTCGCGTAGTTTTTGATGAACTTAGCGCTGTAGTTAGCCATTCCTAATAGACTTCTCACTTCACCGACTGTTGTTGGTGGTTTTGTATTGGCGAAAGCGTCCACTTTCTTGGGGTCTGGGCTAACACCTTTTTCTGTGAATACCAGTCCAAAGAATTCAAGATTCTTTTTGAGGAATTTGCACTTTTGTAGATTGAGAGTCAGGTTACTCTCTTGCAGACGTGTAAGTACTTCTTCTAATGCTTGGTCATGTTCCTGTCGAGTATTTCCAAACACGATGATGTCATCTGCGATGTTTTTAGCTCCTTGAATTCCTTGTAATGTCTCCTGTAGGGTGTGTTGGAAGAGTTCCGCTGCAGCATTTGTGCCGTAGTTTAATCTTTTATAGCGATATAAACCGAGATGAGTGGAGAAAGTTGTTATTCCCCGAGATGCTGGGTTCAGCTCCAGTTGATGGTAGGCTTGAGTTAGGTCAAGTTTTGAGAAAAACCGAGCTCCGTTAAGCTCAATAGAGACAGCTTCTAGAGTGGGTATGGGATGTCTAGTTCTCTGAATAGCTGTATTTGCTACTCGCATATCTACGCCACAATCGAATCTTATCGTCACGCTTTGGGACGACGACGACTGGGGAAACCCACTCCGTTGAAATTCCTTCGGGTATTCTCTCAATGATGTCATCCTGTTCTAATCTGCGTATTTCATCTTCAATTTTTCCGCGTAAATGGAACGGTGCTCGGCGCTGCGGTTGTGCAACTGGTGAAACGGTTTCATCGATAACTAATTCGATTTGTTTGTTCTTTAGTTTCCCAAGTCCACAGAACACAGGGCCATGTTTATCTAGGATGCGTGCGAGGTTTTTATCGCTCGTTGTTGGTGTGATTTTTGAACGTTCTGTTTCCTTGTTTATCTGATTTAAATGGAGACTTACGAGTCCAAGTTCTTGTGCAGTTTCAGAACTAAGTAAACAACCGCCGTCGTCAGAAGTAACAAATATGGTAGCTACCGTGAATTTGTGTTTCGACTCTGCTAAAACGCGGAATTTTCCTTCCATCTTCACAGGTGTTGTGGAATTGAAGGGATATGCTTTCACGGATGTTGGCTGAAGTCGGATATCTCGCAGTTGTTGGAACGTGTGTTTATCGATTACATTTATGCTTGACCCCGTATCAATGGTCATTTTTACTCTTTGTCCATTGAGAGCAATTGACGCTTGCGGGTGTTTTGTTTGTTGTTGACCGCGTAACAATATTCTGGACCACTACTGTCGCTGCTAGTGTTGTCCTGGAGGTCTGTGTTAACTGGTCGTAGGTCTTCGCGTGGTTTACCAGTTTGTCTATTTTCTCTCGTGTTGCTACTGCGGCACTGGCTAGCAAAATGGTTTAATTTACCACAATTGGCACATGTCTTGTTTTTGGCAGGGCACGGTTTGTTGGTGTGAGGGTAGCTGCCACCACAGTAAAAACATGTCTTATTGGATGTCTTGTGTTTTGTTTCTTTCGCGGTTGGCGTTTTAACTGCTTGAATATTGCAGCTGTCTAAATGTCCTTCAATGTCAGCTGCATGCGTCTTGCTTATTTCTTCCCGCCTGGCTGCGAGCAAAAGATCTTTTAAAACATACTTGGGGTCTCGCAACGCTTGTTTACGCACGCGACTTGACTTTCCTCCAATAACAATTTGTACCATAATTTCGAACTCTACATCTGAAAACTCACAGTTTTTTGACAGTGTTCGTAGACGCGTGTGGTATTGATCTATCGTTTCCGTGTCGCTCTGTTTTGCTTGTCGAAATTTGTAGACTTCGTATAATCGATTTTTTTGAGGCTCGAAGTATTCGGTGAGAAGTTCCGTCGCTTTATCGAAGTCGTCGTCGTTACCAGGGTCTGGAAAGTGTCGAAAGATTTCCCGTACTCGCGGTCCTGCTTGGTATAAAAGTAATGCTCGTTGGCGTGTCTTGTTTGTAATGTTGCTCGCCGTTAGAAATGTTTTGAAATCTGCCAACCAAGTACGCCATTTAGCCGCTATATTTCCTCCCGCGTCAGCATCAGGGTCAAACGGTGGCATAGGCGTGAGATATGTCGCCATTATAATATGTTTTAATCACTTGTTTTAGTCTTCGTCGCCAATGTAATATTGCTTGTTTCTTACGCTTTTTCTAGGTATCTTTCCATATCCTTTACATAACTAGATCTCCCTCAATTAATGTCAATCAATCCCCTAATCAATATCAAGTCTATATTTAGCTATTACTGTCCGTGCCTATATATATATATACATTACATCATTTTAGCTACTATAAACGTCAATGTGAATATTACCGCGTTAGTAATCCAACAGAATGCGTTTTATTATTACTCCGGCGCCAGCGACGGAGTTGAAAATTCGCCCTGGTTTTGTTTTGTTTTTAAAAAGTTTTAACAAATGTATATGTTGCTCATTGAGTAGATAAATATAAGTGCTTTCCTGCAGTTATTTGAGCAAGAAACTCCAAACAGATGTTTTTTTTAGCTCCAAATTAATCACTTTCCGAGTAACTAACACAACAAGTAAATTCAAGGGTGCTGGGGCAGCCTGCCCTATATATGCTCATGGAGATTGAATGTATGAATCTTATCAGTCTAACTTTTCCGTTAACAAGTTAAGATTGTCTAGTTTGTTGCTGTTTGTTCATATTTTAAATAATTGAATAAGAACAGACTTATCTGGCAGATATACACATAGCAGGCCTTAGCAAACTTTCCCTGCTGAAGTTCTTGCAAACAAGCATTTTGAGTAGCCAATGCTAGGAAATTCTCACTAGTTGCTTGCTAAAAACGAAAAGATGTTATCACACTACCATACAACATGGTCCAGGTCAAAGAAAAATACAATCAATCACATGTAATCACCATAATTTTCTTGATGAAATAGATCAAAAACACGACAGCCTCTATATATAGAGACTAATCACGTATATTTTTAACTGAATTACAATAGTAATTCTATGGAAATTTCGGAGTAAATCGAAAGTGCACACTCAGTTTGACGCACCCCTATCTATTACCCATATAAACACATAGTTATTTTTGCTTTAGTGTGGAGATGTTCGTTTGAATTTTTTACACCGTCTGGTCCAGAGCATTTACAATATTTTAAAGCAATGACACAATCACACAACGTTATTTACAGTCGTAGGTATCTCCAACATCCTAAGTTCCACAGTTCTCTTCGCCATATCCAGAGCGGTCTCTCGCCGTTCTTGTTGAAGCCAATACAACATCTCTGTACGATCACTGGACATTTTCTCAAGGTATGGACGACCCTACGAGGGAGGAAAATAAGCAATGGAATGAATTCAGAACCACCAACTATTTCCTGGAGGGGTGTGGGGAAAGGTTCACGCGCAACCCAGCCATAGGTGGGGTTACCACGATTGAGAACATTTAAGAGTTTCTAACTGAGGCATACAGTACTGGAGCCGGTTGTATTTTTTGATTTATCCACCGTTTAAGCTAGAACTTGACGCAAACTTGACGCAACCCGCCCCTGGCTGTTAGTGAAACAGGTCGAACGAAGTTCTTCCAGTCGCATTATTTCTCTTACCTGGAACGTGACAACATCGGAAAACGTCTCATGAATCGTAACAACGATTTTCTTAATTCGAACTTCAATCTTGTCCAATTTCTGCCGAGAAAAAGAAAGAGTTTCTTTTGAATAACCCAATAATAACATGATTGAAACATTTTGCATTATTTTCAAATAATAAATTTCTTAGATTTTTTTGATGTTTCAGAGACACTGGAGTTTTCTTACAAATTCGAGTTTTCTTATACAAATTACTTTTCGCTAACGAGTATCTACATTTACACAAAAATATTAGCTAAATAAGTAAAACAAGAGATGTTCCAACTTACATGATGTAATTGCTTTCTGGTTTTCGCCTCTTTGATCCGAGAACTGGCCGAACCAGGGCTTCCTAGGGATATAAGAGGATTACATTGTATTAATTCACATAACAGCGTAAGTTGTAACGTGTGAACGTTGGAATAAAAGTGCTCAAATATACAACCTTATAACGTGTGTGACATCTATTATATTTAGATACACGCATGATAATGCCTCAGCCTATTTCTTAGCTGAAGGTAACTCTGGCGTATCACAATATCACATAACTCTTTTTATGCCTAGTTTCCATTCAGTCGTTAGCTGTCGTTACATGTCTTTCCGTGTCTTTGGAATAGTCGTGAAAGACCGATAACGAATTATGGGAAGAATCATGTCGTTTCCTGTCTTTTTATGTCGTTGAGATTTGTTCTATCCGAGCGATACTGTCGTTTTCTGTTTCTCTCAGTCGTTATCGGTCTTTCACGATTATTCCAAAGACACGGAAAGACATGTAACGACAGCTAACGACTGAATGGAAATTAGGCGTTACGACTGACTAAAACAAATGTATATTTACTAACTGCACTATATGACTGTTGGTATAAACCTTTGAAATACATTTTAACTATTGGTTTCGCAGTGAAATGGTACACAATTCCAAATATCACTGTCATTGGTCCACTTTTAAACTAAAGTCTAGAGTTAACTGACTGCTATACAACTGGACACTGATTTATAAACGTGCCTCTCTCGAAGAAATGGTTTGGGTCCGAAGACAGTCTCTCGAAATCTTCTAATTTCGTTATCAAAGCTTCTCTGGCCAGAATCAACTTGACGGCTGTCTCCCAGTGCTGTAACACCTGTTGGATGGAGTGAATTTTAAATACCATACAAAAGATAATGGAAATAGTTAAAAACTAAATTATGATGGATATTAGATTGGTGTTTCCATATCGAAAATTCACTGCGGCAAGTCAGTGAGTAGTCCCCACCCATTAAAAAAGTCGAACCCGTCCCGACTCGAGTCGGCGACTACAAATTACGGAGTTTCACGACGATTCACGACGCAGCCAGCTCGACGACGCGCTTGCAAACAAAGAAACTCCACACGCGAGAAACAATAGGTATGCATCATGGTATGCATAATTTGTGGTCCCATGACAGCGTTGTCATTCTTACGACGCCTTCAAATGAGGCATTTTCATGACATAGCGGTAACGTTTTGACAGTTTATATGAAACATCTTATAGCCCAATTGAATGTTTGTCAATTTCCGGTAGCTAATTTCTTGCAAAAATAATTGACTAGCATCATCGAGCTAGATCGTAAACTCCCTATTAGTCGCAGATGTCGCCGACGACGTGTTTCCATATGCTTGGAAGTCGCGCAGACTCGAGTCGGCGACATGTCGGTGCTATATGGAAACCAGGCTTGGAAAAGATGAGTCATTGACCTAATTTATTTACTAATTTATGCATAATTAATAGCATTAGTTTCAGACATCAGTGTCCGCCATTTTGGTTTACCACGACTCACCAGTATTTTTCGGTCCTACTCAACACTGCCTGAGTTGACTGCCCGGGAAAATAAATGTTGCCCGGCACTTCCGGTTAATAAATCGTTAAAAACTGTTAATGCCAGGGTTGGAATAATGTTTATTCGTTTTACGAAGGCGAGAAATTGCCACAGAAAGCGTCGAAAGTATAAACAGCAATTATTCTATGCCCTAAACAGTGAACACTTAATCCACGCAGCTCCCTCATTACAGTAAGAATTGCGTATTTTTGTCATTTGTGCATTTACCTGCCCGCATTGAAAAAATGTCACAAGCCTGCCAAAGGTTGATCCTGTCCTGCTAGTTCAAAGCATAGATAATAATTAAAGTGGAAGCCAAGACCGGAAAAAGTGGAAGTCAATACAGTTTAGTCCATACCACTAAGCTATACTATAATTCATACTCAACTTCATAGAATAAACTGAATCAATAATTGCTATTTTATAGTTTCCTTGCCTTCGTAAAACGAATAAACATTATTACTAACCCTAGCATAATTAATATTTTATGATTTATTAACTGGAAGTCCAGGCAGCATTTATTTTCCCGGGCAGTCTTCTTATCGGGGCCATTCCATTTAATATCCACACCCCCCGTTGACGAGATTTTCCGAGGGGGTGAAAATTTTAGAATTTCTGAGGGGTAGAGAGTAAATATTGACGAAAATTCGGAGGGCTTAACCGAAATATAAATTTTCCGAGGGGTTATTAAAAATATTTAAAATAATTTAAAATTCGACTAAATTTTCCGAGGGGTGATACGAAAAGTACGAAACGTTGGATTTATTAACTGGAAGTCCAGGGCAGCATTTATTTTCTCGGGCAGTCTTATCCGACGGGTAGTGTTTAGTAGAACCCGTATTTTTTGTTGGTGTGTGTTTTAGAGGCTACCATCAATATTTTATATGATGCCTGATCGTGAACAAGTACATCGTGATCCGAAACGAGCCAACTTATTCCCAGGTAAATCTATTCCTTTAGAACTAATTATTTTGTTTTTCTGTAGCAGTTTTCGTCTCATTCAAAATAACGCGATTGGCAATTGATACGCAATTTATCTGACAAAAAATACAGAACGCGTCTATGATTCTATTACGTGAGACTAGCAAAATTCAACATTTTATGATAAAAGTGTCACTTAGGCCTTATACCAGCCAATACTGGGACAAAAGATTTCAAATCTATTAAAAGCAGGAAGTCAGATTTTGCCACTCGTAACAACTTTCAAAACAAAACTTGAAGAAAACATGGTTTAACACTGGATATATCAACAACTATTATGCCAAAGGAACTCATACCTGTCATTAAATTATTAAGGAGCTTAGCCCTACTTTCAGACTGGCATAAGAGAACAAGGAGGGCCATGCCTTCCACCAGAACCCCCCCCCCCCCATCAACAAATCTGACATGACTTAATATAATTATACCTTTCCTTCTGGTTCCAGGTATACCCGAGGCACTAGATGGTGTCAACATACCAAGAGACCAGCGACCAACACAAGAAACATGTCCACCAAAACATTAGAAATGACAGACAACATTGAAAAACGCCTAAAAACAAGTTATTAATAATTAAAAGAAGAATGAACATAGTACATTTTCTTAGTTTCAGTTTTAGTTATGTCTGACATATATATTGAAAATATGAGTTTAATTAGAAATAAAAAATAAGTCCTAGACTAGTTCATAAACAGAGGAAACTCTAGTTATTTAGAAACATTCAATGTAATTAGAATTTTTTTTTAAAATCTGGACAGTTTTTTATGATTTATTTTTATAATGCACTATGCAATAATGTAATAGAATAAATAATTAATAATGTAATGATAAAAATTTAATGGTGTACTTGTAATAATGGATAATGTATGCATTGTGTAAATCTTTGACTGCAAAAGGTGCCCAAACATCGCAAGGCATGAAAATTACTCAGAATTGTTTAAAACACAACAGAATTCTATCATCATTGTGTAGTTGTAACAAATATTGCTCCACATTATATGTCTGCAAAATCACTCAACCTTGGCTTGTGTTTTGCACACTTTTCTCGCAAGATCCCTGTGTGTTTGGATCAGATCATATTGCTTAATCACATGTTATTGGTGACAAAATTATTTGTCTTGACCTTTTGATCTAAGTAATTATATAAAGTAATTTTGAATGTGGTAGCCAGTGGCAGAACTAGGGGTGTGCAGAATAAATTACTACAGCTTAAAACCGGAATTGCATTGGCAGATTTGAATGTAAAAATATTCTTTTCAAATCTATAACCAACAGTGTTGTTATTAAGGTGTTTTGAATTTAAAATTAAGCTGTGTAATTTATTCTGCACACCCCTAGATCCACCACTGATGGTAGCTGCCTTTTTGTTTGCCTTGAGGTGGGAAACCAGATGCAATAATTGGGGAGGGTGCATATTAATATTTTGTACTGCCTAATTGACCTACAATTCCCAATTGTGGGCAAATGCAGATCTTTCTTATTCTCACAAACACCCTAAGTTCATTTATTTATTTTCAAATTTAGTGTAAACATTAAATTTGATTAACCTAACTACAGATTTCCATACTTTCTCTTGACAACTAAGAAAGCATATGCACTAGACAAGTTATTTTCACAAAATGATATGCACGAAGTACAGAAAAATCCAGTTTTAATACCACTATTGCTGACAGCCATATCATTAATTTTATTGACTAAAACACTTTTTTTAAAACACTTTCAAGCTCGACAACATACTGTTTCTCTTATTGGGAAACAAGGCAGTTTAAGCAACACATACCTCAAACAGCTTGAAAAGAACAAATGTCAGCTATGGCACAATCAGAATAAAAGCCAAGGCATCTTGCAAACTGAAGACACGAGCTATAAATTAAAACAATACACAATTATTAAACATACCAGCCTAACCATTCTTTTTTATAGAATGACCTGATTTCCATATTACTTTATTTTAGCATGCCAGAGTCAAATAATTATTATATTCACATGTTTTTTGAACCTTGTTTTTAACCCCACTGAGCATGAAACATAGGTAGGTATTTGACACAAGAATAGGTCGATTGGGTAAAATGTGAATAAACTATAAGGTTTTTTTTCACTGTACTGTTGATGTGGTCTATATACAAAGAGGACAATGAATTGTAGTCTAAAAGTATCAGGTATTGTATTAGAATTGGCAACTCAACCCTAACCCTAAAACACAAGCTTTGACAGCTTTCCTTTGCCCTTTTAAACTCTGAATTAAATAATTATAAGCGCTGAAGTTTTGCCACAGGAAATTTCAGATACGCATTAAATCCAGCATTTTATACTGCACTTATTCGCTATACGGAGAAAATTTTATGTACAACGAATACGTCTCCATTTTTAGGGTACCTTTTTCCTAAAGGCGGTGTTACATCAAACTACATGGCAACTGTAAATTGCATAATGAAACCTAGCCGGTATGTGATGAAACCGCGTTTTATTCTGAGCGCAGAACCTCGTCGCGGCGACTGTTTTGAATTTTGGGATAAGTATATGGTTTAGATAGTCTGTTGATTTTTTAAAGATTGCTTTTCACATTGTTTATATAATTGTAAGCCGTTTTAGAAAATTGAAAGTACTCGCGAAATTCAGAATTGGAACAAATGTGACCAAAAGTCCAAAACAAGGAACCGATCACGTGGTTTCTCATCACAGATTAGCTATATAGAAACACAGAAGTTTCTTATCTGTATATAGCTAATCTGCGTCATTTCAGATCTAGTCTAGAGATCTATTCGTTCCTAAACCGCCTATGCTAACAGCACCTAAGAAAATCATCTATTTTTGTCTCCCTTTTACTGGGTTACACTCCATTCAGATTCGCACTCAAATCAACCGTCTTTGTAGCGCCGCTTTTCCGCATTTGGATGTTAGATTTGTCTTCCGTTCCACTAGAAGGCTTTCTTCACTTTTTCCGTTCAAAGATAAAGTCCCTAAGTACCTGAGATCTGGTGTAGTTTATTTATTTAAGTGTCGATGCTGTTCCGCGTCGTACGTGGGTCAAACCACGCGTCATTTACACACCAGAATATCAGAGCACTTGGGAATATCACCCATCACTGGTAAACAGACCTCAAGCCCTGTTATGTCCAGTATACATTCGCACTTAAAGGCTTGCGGACACCCGGCTAGCTTTGACGAATTTAGAATCCTCTCTTCCTCATCTGACTCTTATGAGCTAATGATACATGAGAGTCTTCTCATCACCAAACTTAAGCCTTCTCTTAATGTTCAAGGCAACTCTATCCCTCTCAATTTATTTTAGTCCTTACTTCGTATTGTCATCGTGTCGTGACGTGCTGTCCCTTGTCCTCTCATGTACCGCTTGTCCTTACGTTGTCCTTGTTATCACCTTTTGTAAATTGATACCTTGTAAATATATTACTAGTCTACATATATTCAAATTATCTTGTAATTTATCATTTAGTCTGAAGATGTCTTAAGTTAAGACGAAACGTTACTACCAAATATATTCTTTTTATTCTCAAATGGTCTAATTGTCTCTTATGGCTTTACTGAAAGCACTATGTTGGGCTTTAATATTTATACTTCGAATACTAGTCTAGAAAAATGTTTCATCCGTGTTTGCCCTCTCGTAGATCTGGTGGCAACAACGTCGCAAAGAAGGTTGCACAGTCTTACCAATTTCATTCTTAAAACAAAACGAATGACTTCAAATAAAAGTATTACTTAGAACAAAATTTATCCAAAATCAAATTGGTGATAAATTCTTCGTTAATAGATATCAGCGAGCGAATAACTATGAATGCTCTGCATCCAATAGAGTAGACCAATACATAATTTTGTTTTCCATTTTGAACTTTATATCTGTCGTTTTAATAAGATAAACGCCTTTCAAACCAGTCCCTGATGTATAACTGCCTTTATTTCATCATTCTAACTCGCATCTACTGTAGTTATACCAAAAGATTAAAATTAACGTCTGAAATGTAGTCAAGGTTGGTTCCACATTTCATGTATTTCAAACATGTAAGATTCAGATAGATCATATAATAGTGTATTACACTTTTTACAAAGTTTGGTTTTAAATTAAAATACCTTAGCGTGGTTAAATAAAGTTCATCATCATCATCTCCTGATTATTTTCCCTCCAGCTAGCTTTCTCATCGCGAAATCCGAAGGCTTTCCTTCGAGTTGCAATATCTCTCAGCACGTATTTTCTGTCTGACTCTAACCATAGACAATCCAAAAGACATTATCTTTTGATATTTCCCTTTCAGAAATATATGCTCAATCTTGTTCCACGAATGGTTCCCCGATTGAAATATGCTTAAATGAGTTAAATCATTTCACTGGCTGCTTAAATTCCCAAAAATCCAAAAATTGTACGTAGTACATACATACCGACTACCGTGTATATATGTGAATAATGTGATAGAAGGCAAGCGCCTCCTCCCCCAAACAAGGCAACATTTGTCTGATTGGTTGATTTTTACATTAGTTTCAGGCTTCTGTTCCAAGCGCGGGCAAAGCGTGAAAGGAAGTAAAAAACACAAAACATAGTATTTTCATATCCGGATTGTAGAAAAATCGGACAATGTTTTGGTTTGAAATTTATTTATACAAAAAGAAAAGTAGTCCGTCTTTCGTACCTCGAAATATCGAAGGATTTGGGGTTTTTGTTGATGTTTCGATCGCGTCGAAAGAAATGTCTCGAAAATACGCGTGCGACGGGACGAAAACGCCGGCTCGAGGGACTTGTTTTATTCCCACTTTTATGTCTTATGGATAAAGACTATGAGGTCTAACTCGGTATTTTGTAATGGTGGAATACAGGTTATCAAATGGCACCATAGTCGAGTTACAGGAATTTGGTTGACATGAATTAGGGCAAGCCGTATAAGAGGTGGGATTTTCTGTGAAGCGCAAGCCAAGAAATTTCCCGTGCTGTGTCAGCATGAGGTCTAAATTTTCTTGCTGTGTTTGCGGAAAGAAGTCCTCGAATTCTGGATTTATTAATTCAGGTTCAAAGGGAAAATGTCTTTGTAAGCCGTGCAACGCGCGAAAACTACAGTTTTCAACGAAAACCAACAAAAGGGACTTGACCAGAATAACCGGCATTCATTCTGGCCAAGGCATCTCACAGTCTCCATATTGCACCCTGGTTTTGCCAAAAAACAAACACATATTCACAGCATTTCATAAATATAATTTTAAAATCCACAATATTCTACATTCCACAATTCCTATAACAGAATCTTATCAAATGTTACCAATCATCAATCTTCAACACTGCCACATTGCCAATCATCTCATTTTCAAAAGGCACCCTCCAACACCCCTGCAATGCCAATGGGCGCATAGCCATCTCGACAGGATCTGAATACCCGCAACTACATATGAAATAAAAATATTGACTAAAAACCATGGACACTATTTGCGAATAACAACTGCTGAATCCAGAGTAATTCGCCACTTAACCCTTATTTCCTTTGTAGTTTTTAGTAAGGCTCGTTTATACTGTACTCATTCTTTTGTCACAACATCTTTGTTTGCCTTTTAGAAGCAATATTTTACAGATTTTGATGATGCCTCTCAGAAGTAAGGATTTTTACAACCTTTCAATACCAACAAAATTGGACCCAAGCTAATAGCAATCATGTAAAATGTGAAAGCGATTTATTTATGCAGAAATTTGTACAAAAATATTTGTTCCAACACAAGGTCAGCGTCCCAGTTAATTCCCAAAATTAGTTGAAATAAAACCTCGACATCCGCTGACACCAGGCAGATATCAAACCACAGAACACAGCCAACAGGTATCAATGAACATTATGCAATCTTGAAGAACAAGGAGCAATGCTTCCACAAGGACAAGGAGCAATGCTTGACTTTTTTCTGAACTTGATTCATAAAAGTGCATTATACACTAGAATTGCACCATCGTGGAAATAAACCAGTCACGCAGAAATGGGAACGAAATTGTTATATAATTTTCGTTCTTTTGTATTACTGATTAATTACATCAACTGCGCAGAAAATTAAACTTCGCGTTTTTGGGCAACGGAAAACGACAGAGTTGGTATTTTTTGCTTGATTATTCACGCAACGTTTTGCACTTGTCCTAAGGAGATCAGATCACGATACATTGCAGTTAAAAAACTGACAATTCTGCCGTTTAACCCATAAACGCAAAGCTTGAAGCATTCTAAAACATCTCTGATACATTGAGATGAAATACTTATTTATATTAATTAAAAACTGCATTAGCCTTCCTTCAATATACTACGAGATCGGTTGCTTAAAAGTCGGCTGACTTAATCCTGGATTAAATCTTTAAATCTTCACATCAAACTTTACACTATCTTAATCATGCTAACCCAGAAATCATTCCAGGGTCGACAGAAGTTTTAATTTCTCACGTTTTAATATGAAAGACCATGCAGAAATACATATTCAAACACTGCTGTTTCAGATTTAACTTGTGAAGGGTTATAGTGCCAGTCAAACCTTAAACAACCGACCTGCAGATTCGTGCGCTCAAATTCGCCTTTTAATGTCAATTTCAACGCAGGTTTTTACTGAATAACTTGTATAATATATTTGTACTATTAATAATAACTGCGCAAACTTAAGTGATTACATTCAACGTGATATATGCTAATGCCCTCTATATTTGGGCGCGCTACATTTGCGCTGATTAACTTAATTACTTTCGCAGGATTCGTACAGGTCGAGAAAAAACTCAGGGAAATACTGAATTTGTTTAGGTTTTACTTTTGAATAAAGAAATCCAATAACTTTTAAATGCTTCTCCATAAATTTATTCAAGGATTTTCAATTTCCGTACGAACCCTGTATCTTTCACGAGTGATCTGCAACTTGGGGTTGGTCATAAAGTAATTTGCTGAAATTCGTTGAGAGCGTATTCCAAAACTTGAATTATCGTTCCTGCAGAAATTTGCGGCATCGCTGTTGCTTTGAAATGAAAAAGCCGATGATTGTGAAACGAAAATGAAAAGAAAAAAGCTCATGGTCGCTCACAGCACAGAATGCTGGCGATAAACACAAAGTTTTAGAGCAGAACGAATTGTGCCATCAAAATAATTTGTAAAAATGCGTCTTTGTCAAAAAAAACCTTCAAGAGACAAAGTACTACAGTCTACAGCCGAAATTCATGATATTCAAAGAGAAATGTTCACCAAACTATTGAAAGAAAAACCGAGAAACTGTGCTAACAGAAAATATGATGGACGTGCGACAACCAGACAAGCATGTTTCAACAACAAAAATGAGGGTATTTTGGGTCAAATCAAAGAAAAATTTACCACAAGACCCTCGCGCGTGTTTTACAGAAAATACGGCTGAGAGAAAAACACGGTATGAAACAAGCCTTGCACTGCATGACAGAGCAAGAGTATAACATCACTACGACGATGTGAAAACGATGTATCGAGAAACAAAAAATGACTAAAAATGTGAAACAACCGTAGAAAACAGCTGAGAAAATTGGAGCCGTACTAAAATGTAAAACTTTTCGGCTTTCAAGTTTCAAATTCAAGTTTCTCTTGACCAGATACTTTATGACCAGATCCAAATATCACTCTGAAATCACTCTGAAAACAGCTTAAATCAGCTTCTAGCTTTATATATACTAGCTAGTGTTGCTATAATCAAGCTGACGATATTTATTTCTATTTTATGCTAATTTTATACGTTCTCATGCGAAAGAAACAAATGGGTATTTTACACAGAAACTTCGAGAAATTTCTAATTTTGATCATTTTTCACAGTAATAACACTGACCTTTTAATTTACTGCCTATATAGTTCCTCAGGAACTCGATCTCTCTCGACAACTCCTGCACCTGGGCTTTCAAATCTTCATTTTCCGTTTCAAGCTGATTTTCTTGTTGATTCAATCGAGCTTCTCTCGACGGACCGCGAACACGATTTGTTCTGCCATGGGGTTGTGCCAAAGATGAAGCTCCACTTGAGGACACAGAAAGTCTTTCTTCCGCTGATGAAGCTCCACTTGAAGACACAGGAAATGTTCTTTCTCCCACAGATGAAGCTCTATTTGATGAAGCTCCATTTGAAGACACAGGAAGTATTCTTTCTTCCACAGATGAAACTCCACTTGAAGACACAGGAAGTATTCTTACTTCCATATTTGAAGCTCCACTTGCACATGAAGACACAGGATGTATTCTTTCTTCTATATCTCTAGAGCAACAGGGTTGTTCCATTCTCTTCTTCGACACAGGGAAAACTGCTTCGATAGGTTCGATGTCTTCCTCAAAGGGTCTCTTTCTGCTGCCAGGATTCACAATGGTGATAAGTTGGTTTCCGAGGAGGGGAGGGGATTTACCTGCACTGTGTAGAGAGATTGTATTGCTTTTAAGACTCGGATGAATGATGCTGCGGGTTAAACTACCCGCAAATACGCCTGAATCAGTATTGTAAGGGGTATCTGGGGTAACATTAGGTACCGTAGTTGTATTATCAAGTTCACCGATGGATTCCAGAGTTCCTCTGTTGGGTTCTGAGGCTATATTGTCAGTTCTAGGTTCAGTGTTATAAGAGTTCATATTTGACTCTGCTGACATTGTTGTCAGATTCATAAATTGTTCATGGAAGACTTGATCAGGTTCTTCTATTGTACCAAGCAAGTCTTTAAAAATTTGCCAAAAAAGTTCGAGTAGAATTTCTTCTAGCAATTTTTGTTCAGCGTCGTTGTTTTCAGCTGAAAAATCTGCCGTTTCAACCCCGACGTTTTCAATGAGAGTTGACAATCCGTCAAAAAGTGGATTCTCTTGGGCTGCAATGTTGTCTTCAACTGAAGGATTTTCAGTATCACTAAATAGGTAGCCATAAAGAGTATCCAAATTTGGTAGTTCACCTTGAGAAATATCTATAAAAAAAGTATACTTAAAAATATAAGAATATCGCCGGTTGTACTAATATACTGTAGCTTTTGAAGTGAACTGCTATATTTCTGTACAAAATAGTTGTTATGTTGTATATGTTGTATACCTTTAAATATATCACTGTTATTCCTGTCCATCCTTGTAATTGCTCCGTGCACGAATTTCGCTTTTTTGCCTTGTAAACGACCCCGTTTCTTGAATAAGAAGCGGGAGCGAGTGGTCGTTTACCTTTACTAATTTGTATCGAAAAATTACAAACTCGCTCTGAGCACGCATTGTCATCTGTTGATAAAAACACGTCAGAATAGCCACAATTCACTTTGGAATACGTCTTCTTCTTGGATAAACATGTCTCCGAGTAGCTACAACCTTTCTTGGAATACACACTGTTCTTTGTTAAAAAAGCCTTTCTTTTTTCACACCTCAATTTTTGCTTTGCCGTTAAGATCTGCAAGAAATATTTAGAAAACAGTCACAAGCATATCGGAAATAGCCTAAAATGTTTCCAGTCCATGCAAAGAAAAAAATTAAACAAACGGCAGAAGATTTGGTTGATGGAAATAATTGTTTTCCAGAATGCGCGTGTGATCACGTGATTGCAATCTAAGCTTGAGATGTCTTGTAAATTATTTCACGGAAATTTACGCGGAACCAGTGTCTTCCTTACTACACCAGCAGATGCAATGTCGGAAATTATGTAAATTAGGTTATTATGGCATGTCGTCACGTAAGTTAAGGAGACTTTGAATTGAAAAATTTGGGGGGTTATTGCAATATTACTTGGGATTTTGGGGAGTAAACAAGAAATCTAAAAACTGTGTGGTGTGAGACGTGAGATATTGGGATCTTTGGTGAGAATGTGGGTTTGGTCGAAGTGTTTCTCACAGAAAATTATTTCAATGACTGCATAAAAGTGTATTTCCTTCAGCGTCAGATATGTGTTTGTATTCCTTGGTCAAATGGCCATGGTGTATTATGACATGCATATTAAATTTAATGTAATGGAACTTCGGACCTCTACGTACCATGTTCTCCACCACCTCAAGCTGTATTTTTAAGATCAATTCACGCAAAACCTCACGCCAATAAGACGACGTCGAAAACTCCTGATTTTCCCAAAATATACAAAAAAGGAATTAATTTGGTTTTTACAATCTCATGGCATGCATACAGGGGTGGTAAAACCCCACACAAACCCCAGGGTATAAGCTCTTGTTTCTAGCAACTATATAAAAAGATAGCCCTAACAGATAATGTCCGTTTGCGACCTGTGATTAAAGGAATAAATATAGGTTGCAAGATAAGTTCCATGAACTGGCTTTTGGTTTATACTATAGAATCGCAAGACGGCGTGTTTTGAGCAAAAATTCAGAGAATTACTGATTTTGTTGTATATTAAGCGCTTAATTCTACCTTAACAAATAATGCCAAAATTTTTCACAATCGAATCGGTATATTATTAAAGAACCTCCTTGGCTATGAAATGTTTCTGGATAGGTCACATTGAAAGGTCAAAAGCAATGCTTTAAATAATAAGAAACATGTTAATTGTCATTAATTATTACATAATTGTTATTAGGTAGGTTTGAGACGAATTTTCATAACCACAAACGTCCTTATTTTACAAAATTGGACTCATGGGGCAACGTATGGGGGGTCACTTCTATTGACCATCCTCTGTATATGTAACGTTTCAATTTTCATTAACTATTGTTTAGTACATTACTTGTATACCTAGTGGGCAATTATAAAATGTAATCCTTCTTAACATCCTTACCATGTTCTCCATCCTCTCCACCTCCTCGTTCTTCATCCTCTCCACCTCCATCTTCAACTCCTCCATATTCAGTTTATCCGACTCCTGCACATAATCCAACATCTTCTGCGACTTTTCCAATTCATCCATTATTTCCCCGATTGGACGCTGAATTCGCCAAATATGAATAATTTTAACTTAAATTTAATATAACAATAAACAATTACAATTTATATCATTTTAATTTTGTCTTTGTAAATTTCCGTTAATTTTATCTGAAATGTGTAGTTCTGTGGAAAACAGTGTGAAAACTGTGTAAATAGGTGCTGCATCATTAAATGATTGCTGGTCAGACGAGAATGATGATACACGTTTTTAAATTGCTGTGGGTAATGACTAATGGTCTTATGATGCATGGTGGGTGGTTGGAATGTTTGTTCATATATAGCTATATATCGGATCATTACTGGGCTTGATATAAAGGTTATACTTTCTGGCGGAAAGATCGAAAGTCACGCCTAAAAACGTTAACAACATGCAGATTTGCCTCGGCTGTGGAGTTTATTTCTAGTTTTATCTGCAAAACGTGCTGATTTGCTTCGCAAAATTTCCAGCCAAACCGTCGTCTTCCACTTCGAAATGAGGTGATAATCAACAGCAGGGTGTACAGAATGGATAAAAAATCCATAACATAATGCTTACATATATACAAGCCTACATATTGAAAAACGACCAACAAAGAATCAACTTCTATTTACTTTGCAATTTTATTTATACGTACCCAAAACAAACGCCATTCATACAGCTCCCTCTTAAGATTCTTCACCAGTTTCTTCATCACCTCCATCTTCCAGTTCTTAATCTTCTCCATCATCAGTTTATCCGATCCCTGCTCCAAATCCAACATCTTCTCTATCGTCTTCAATTCATCCATTGCGTGAAATGCCCGGTCTGTTGACTAATTTACCAAAGATAAATAGTTTTAGATTGATAATTTTTCACAATAGAATACGGATGTTGGTATCATTTAACTGACAAAGGTTTTAATGGACCAAGAAAATTTTTGGTGAATGTGTGGTTTCATTTAGCGTGTTGATGGAATGAAGAGAAATAGTTGGATCAGGCAACTAAAGTTACACATTTAGTACATTCAGTAATAATCCTCGTTCAAAACATGATCTGGAAACTTGCCAACAGTCAACCGCCAACTAAGAATCAACTCTGATTTAAAGCAACTATTATCGACACTACTCAATTATATTTACGTACCGATGAAGAGAAACGATGACAATCCATGTTATTCACCAGATTCTTCATCACCTCCATTTTCAACATCTTAATCTCCTCCATCATCAGTTTATCAGACTTCTGCTCCAAATCCAACATCTTCTCCATCGTCTTCAATTCATCCATTGCGTGAGATGCCTTGTTTGTTGGCTGAGCCTATAGCGTAAGTTGAGGCTTTGTGGTTACCCTGGGCCTGGGAGGATAGTATATGGTAATTTACAGTTGGTACGGTATTTAGTAGACATTTTTTCTTGATGCAATGTCAATTATATTGTATCGAGGTGACAACAGCATCATGATCAGAATAATAAACTTGTACTACAGAACTTTTAATGAAGTAAAATAATACATTTACATTATTACCACAATTCACAAATACCGATTATAGGTAGCCTAACTATCCGCACGGCGTAACATATTGTGTCAATAGAGAGTTTTAGACGTTTACGGCCAGGGCTCTTATATAGTATATAAGCGCGCCCTGTTTACGGCAAGCCGCAAACTGCGGTTTCACGTTGCCGTTGTTGCAAATTTAATATTTAATTACATTTCGTCATATATTACCAGGTCAAGTGCGCAATGCATTGTGGGTTATCGAGGTGCAAAACGCGACCGACACACGACGAAACCTAGACTCGTGCTCTCCCAGAGCACGAGTAATGATTCACAGCGCGAAGCTGGTATCATTCAACTCCTAAAAGTTTTAATCAACCAAGAAAATGTATCTGAATGTTTGGTTTCATTTTCTTAATGTTGATGTTCAGGCAACTAAAGCTACACAACTAAGACATGATCTGAAAACTCGTTAACAGTCTTAATGTATTGTCCATAAAGACAATACATGCCACCATAGACAATCCAGAAGACAAGTTTATTGTCTTCTTATGATATCACTTATAAACCGAATTTGATGTTCGTACTAGAAAAATATCAGACCGAGGTCTTGACAGTACGGACCGAGCGATAGCGAGGTCTGTACATAAAAGACCGAGAGACCATAAAAGATTCTAGTACCAGTCATGGAAATAATTCCATGACTAGAATCGACTAATACAATCCTGTGTGCACACGAACGCTTCCAAAATTGTTTTTGTCTAGTTTATCGATTTGACGCCCTGCCTATACGGTCCATGGGCGAATATGCCCACTGTGTTCAATTGGCTTTACCTTTTATTGTCAACTGAAGTTGCTTGAAACTGTTTTGTCATGAAAACGAAAACGTTACTGTGCGCACATAGATAAGCCTTTATCAGGGGCGTAACTAGAACGCTGAACTATTATTGGGAGGGGGGGGGTGGTGAATATTCATATATTCAGTTCTGCCCGACGGACCTCTATTGTAAGCTAATGCACTTACAAATAAAATCCGTCGGGCAGAACTTGATAAATGAATATCACCCCTCCCCCCCAATTATCGTTCTAGTTACGCCCCTGCCGTTTCTTGTTAGTAGTTTCGTAAAGGTCACGTTTAGGATTAAAATTAGGAAATATTCGTTGATTCTGGTCATGGAATTACTATACCAGTACCATATCATCTCGTTGGTTTACTCAGTTGTATTGTGATATACAAATGAGTGACAGTTGATCAAAGTGACTATTTCAGTCAAATAAATATCAAAGAACTATCAACACGTTAATTAATGACATATCAACTCAAATTTCAGGCAATTTTGTTAGCCCAAAAATAATGAATATCAAATTCACAAAATATATCGCAGGCCATTTTTCCAAAATACAGCACTCTACTTGTCAACTCAACAGCTTTAATTCCACTTCCAAACGAGGTAATATTCAACAGCCAGGTGTGCAGAATGGATTAAAAAAAGCCATCGCTTATAACACTTAGAATTGTTGTAACACTTGCAACACTTATAGGACCTGCATTTCAAAGCACCGCTAACTAAGAATCAACGCTGATTTCAGGCAACTATCGATATTACTCAATTATACTTACGTACCCATAATGAGAAACAATCCACGTTCTTCACCATTTCCTTCATCACCTCCATTTTTAACATCTTAATCTCCTCCATCATCAGTTTATCAGACGTCTGCTCCAAATCCAACATCTTCTCCATCGTCTTCAATTCATCCATAGCGTGGAATGGCTCGTCTGTTGGCTGATTTCACCAAAGATAAATAATTTTAGATTGATAAGTTTTCCCAATAACAGGGGCGTAGGAAGCATCCAGAGGTTGGGGGGCACCAGCTTCTAGGGGCACTTTTGGTTAATAAAAATGGCGCTTAAAATGGTTAATAAAAATATATATATATAGGGAAGGTTTGATTCAGGGACCGCCGACCGCAGAGCATTTTTCGTATTTCTTGGGCTTCGTACTGCCAGGGGAGTCCGGGGGCATGCTCCCCCGAGAAAATTTTGAGATATAGGCCTCTGAAATGGCTGCAAATCCCTCTCAATTTAAGGATTATTGGGAAATAGTAGGTACTTTTTTGTTTCTTTTCGCTTCCAAAAAGGTATTTTTTTCACAAAAAGGGCACTTTTGGTCCCTTGAAAAATCTTGGGGGGGCACGTGCCCCCACCCTTCCTACGCCACTGCCCAATAAAGAACATTAATACCATTAGATAAACGCAAGAATTTCTCCATGCTAAATGGATAAGAGAAATTCAATATTACGTTTGTGACAGCAGTGTGCTAAACGTTTCTGTAATGATTCACAGCGCGAAGCTGGTATCATTCAACTCCTAAAAGTTTTAATCAACCAAGAAAATCTGAATGTTTGGTTTCATTTACTATGTTGATGAGTTCAGGCAACTAAAGCTACACAACTAAGACATGATCTGAAAACTCGTTAACAGTCTTAATGTACTGTCGATAAAGACAATACATTAATTTAACGAAGGCTTCAGTGCCATTGAAATAATTTGAAATAATTCCATGACTAGAATCGACTGATACAATCCTGTATGCACACGAGCGCTTCCAAAATTGTTTTTGTCTAGTTTATCGATTTAACGCCCTGTCTATACGGTCCATAGGCGAATATGCCCACTGTGTTAAATTGGCTTCAACTTCTATGGTCAACTGAAGGTGCTTGAAACGGTTTTGGCATGAAAACGAAAACGTTTGAAAACGTCACTGCGCGCAGATAGATAACCCTTTATCAGGGGCGTAACTAGAACGCTGAACGATTATTGGGGGGGGGGGGGTTCAAAGCAACTGTCGATAAATATTACTCAATTATACTTACGTACCCATAATGAGAAATAATCCATGTTCTTCACCAGTTCCTTCATCACCTTTATTTTCAACATCTTAATCTCCTCCATCATCAGTTTATCCGACTCCTGCTCCAAATCCAACATCTTCTCCATCTTTTTTAATTTATCCATTGCATCAAACCTCCACTTATTTGACTGATTTCACCAATAATGATAAAAAATTTTAGATTGATTGTATTGACGTTTTCACAATGAATAAAATTAATATAATTAGATCATAAATGCAAGAATTTCTCCATGCTAAATTGCTAAGAGAAATGTAATATTACATTTGTAACAGCGGTGTGCCAAACGTTTCTGTTCACGCCAGAGAAGCTGGTATAATTCAATTGACATTAATCAACCAAGAAAATTTTTGTGAATGTGTGGTTTCACTTACTATATTGATGAAATGTTGGAAAAGAAGAGAAATAGCTGGATCAGGCAACTTAAGCTACACATCTACAGCTAGTCATAATTTTTGTTCATGACATGATCTGAAAACTCACCAAAAGTCTGTTTTAAAATCTTCACTTCGAAATGAAGTAATAATCAATGGCAGGGTATTTAGAATGGATCAAAAAGCCATCACTTGAAACAAATAAGTGTAACTGACCTATTGTAAGACTTATAGATCTCGAGCCTACATTTCAAAGAACCGCCAACTCAGAATCAACTCTGATCTCCGGTATTTATGAAATTACCGATATTACATAATTCTATTTGACATACCGATGAAAAGAAAGCCTTACAATCCAGCTCCCTTGGCAGGTTCTTCACCAGGTTCTTCATCACCTCCATCTTCAAGTTCTTAAGCTCCTCCATCATCAGTTTATCCGACTTCTGCTCCAAATCCAACATATTCTCGAATTTCTCCAATTCATTCATTACATCCAATTCCTTGTTTCTTCTCAGATTCGAATGCAAAAATGTATCGCGGCTAAACAGCTAAGAGAAATGCAATATTACATTTGAAACAGCAGTGTGTACGTAACGATCCATGACGCAGAAGCTGGTATCATTCAAGAGGTTTAAATCAACTAAGGAAATTTTTGGTGAATGTGTGGTTTCATTTAACATGTTGATGAAAATATGAAGAGAAATAGTTGCATCAGGCAACTAAAGTTGCACATTTACAACCAATCATAATGTTTGTTCATGACATGATTTGGAAACTTGCCAACAATTTTGGTCTTACATGTATATTGTGATGTTGCTAGTCCAATGCTCTTCCAACTGAGCTACTAGGACAAGAGTCAAGACGGTTCGAGTAATTGATATTTCGGAACTCAATCTAGTCCCTTTGATATCTGTGCATCTTAAAGTGTTAGTAATAGTGCATAAGACTCAGGTGTATATATGAAATGTAATCTGAATCTTTGCACTACAACTACCAGTCTTTGTTCTATTGCTTGCTCATATTTATGTAAATTTCCCTACGATGAAGACAATCAATTATTCTCATGAAGCAATCATTCTGTGCCATGGTAGTTCTTGCATGACCAAAATCCAGAAATACATTATATCTTTGATCAAATCCTTATGATTTACCATCTTTACTGGTGATCCCTACAGAGCTTTATTGCCACATTGACAGGGTACCCAAATTTATATATTAATTAAATTTACTACACAACGTACTAACAAAAGTGATTTGCTGCCCTCAAAAACATAATCATGCAGGAAAAAGAAATCTAGCGAACTGTAAAGTTTCTTACCTGATACAGATCACTAGATTTCCTTTGCCTGCATGATTATGTTTCTGAGGGCAGAAAATCACTAATCATGTAGTAAATTTAATTAATGAAAATCCTTTTTCTGAACGATAAACATCTTCGATCTTCAGTTTGAAAATCATAGCAGCAGTATCAACAACTTTCATAATAATGGCATATCAACTCGAAAAGCCATTGTATGTTTGTATCACCTATAAGGCCTAAATACTGAAAACTCTGATTTCAAGCAATTATGAATTTTACTATTTGACATACCATCGATACCGATGAAAAGAAAGGCTTACAATCCAGGTTCTTCACCAGTTTCTTCAGCACCTCCATCTTCAACATCTTAATCTCCTCCATCATCAGTTTATCTGAGTACTGCTCCAAATCCAAGTTATCCAACATCTTCTTCTCCAATTCATCAATCCTCTTCCAACCCATGTTTCTTATCTGATTTAACAAAGATAAATAATTTTAGACTGATAACTTCACAATGAATATTAAATATAATTCGATCATAGATGCAAAAATTTGATCATAGACACTAAATAATTTAGGGAAACATCATATTACATTTGAAATAGCTGCATGCTAATATTTTCTGTAATGATTCCTAACGCAGAGAATGGCATCATTCCACTTTCAAAAATGTTCATTTGAATGTGTTGTCTCATTTAAAATGTTTAAAGAATGAAGGGAAATAGCAATAATGTTCATTTTGAAGACATAATTTGGAAACTCAGCAACAGTCTTTGTTCTATTTCTTGCTCAAATTTTCATACAATGATGACAATACATTATTTTCATGAAGAAATCATTCAGCACCATGGTACTAATTTCAGAATCCACAATTATAGTCCTAATCTAAACCTTGCGAATTATGAAATTCCATCTACGTACCCATAAAAAGAAACACAAACATATCTGCTCCAGTTTCTTTGTTACCTCCATCTTCAACTTCTTAATCTTCTTCAGGATCAATTTATCCGACTTCTGCTCCAAATTGTTCTCCATCCACTCTAATTCATCCCTCATCTCCCATGCCTTGTTTTTTGCCTTATTTCATGAAAGATAATTTTTTGACAATGAGATTGAAATACATTATTTTAAATGCCAAAATTCCTTGATATTGAAGGGCTCTCTCACATGTGTGGTCCACTGTGGTGTGGTCACATTTAGTATGTTTATTCATAGAATGCAGGATAAACCACAAGTTGGGGCAAAAGTTAACATTGAAGGGCCAAAAGAAGAGCTCAGGGGAGGCGGCTGGGAAGCTTTTGCACCTAGCTTAAAATTATGTTACGTGAAGTTTGATCCGCTTGTTATAGTTTGGGGGTGCTAATGACAGTTTAATTCAGGGTACTAAGTGCCAAAAAGGGCTGTACACTATTTAAGAGATATGCATGTGGCATGTTGAAAATGGACAAGTCTTGCAAAATCAATGCTAAAAAAAACTTAAAACCTGCTATAATGATATATTTGTTTAAAAATTTATAGTTCTCACAATAAATGAAAACCAGTGCAATATAGCACAACAAAGTATGCCTGCATTCAGCCGTTCACACGGTACCGGATTGCTATCGGAGCAGGTCAAATTTTGACGTTAAGGCTAAGCGGAGTTTTAAATGTCTTAGCTCTGAATGAATATACTAAATCTACCAAATGAATATGCATTTGCTAATATAAAATGTTTAATTATCACAGCCTAAATTGTAGGTCAGGCTACACTAATGGGCTACACAGGCCTACGCTATCACAGGATCATCAGAATGCCATACACAAAGTCGTCTCCACTTTTTGCCTAAGGGATATTTGTTATTACATTAATAGAAGCAACATGCACTATTTGGAATTGCTAGCCTTGTCCAGGGTGCAACTGCTCTGTTAAATTTGTACTTGCTGAATGACAAGTAAATAACGAATTGCCCTTACGCAAAAAAATTGAGATATTAAATTTCATACATGCCAGCATGCTACTGGTTATATATATATTCATTTTGTGCTGAAATTTACTGCCGATATGTCAGTTACACTGTTACAAATAATACAAATTATTATACATTATAGTAGTAAAAGCAATTTGATTGGCTAATAGTTGACAGATAAATCGCGCAATCACGCAAAATTCAGTTATTATCTGCAAGTGAGCCTGCGGTGGTTAACAAGCGGTATTCATTTGAATGTATTTATGTATTAATTATTGATGTATTTTTGGATGTTGCTATTAAATAAGGTTTTTCATTCGTTAATACTATATTTACCATTCTTCAAATGTATAATAAAACAATTATTGAATTCGGTTTTTGTAATATGCAGAGTTATCAAGGTCTCGGTAAGCGTTATCAGCCTCGCCTTCGGCTCGTCTGATAACGCTTACCTCGACCTTGATAACTCTGCATATCACAAAAACCTCATCCAATAATTGTTTATAATTTATATGTTTCTTCTTACATGGTCAACTAGTACTTTTGTAATTCTCATCAATATCGTCGGTTGACCTGGTGGTGTATCATCCATCTCGTCCATCGCCTCACCGGGCTCACGATCCAATAAAGAATACGAGCTTCAACCTTCAGGAAAGGTTGGAATACCAATCCCTTCGTACAATTATGTACAGTCGATAATAAAACTGTCAAACGAAAACAAGGCTTTTCTTTTCCAACGGTCAATAAACCTAACAAACCACTTCGAAAATCTGTTTAACGAAATGGCAACGGAAGTGTTCAGAGTTCTGCTTTTATAAACTTTTAAGACGGAAGTGTTTCCACTCAAAAAGACAAAAGGATTTCATTTCAGTTTGACAACAAATGATTGCAGTATTTTGTTGCGTTTGGATGCAATCAAAAGTTGCAACGCAATTTGCGTGATTGATTGGGGGCGTGTGATGGTCTACAACAGGGGGCGTTGTATGAAAGCCTGATAGCGCCATCAACCGGATAGTGATTTTTTCAACTGGCTTTCATACAACCTGCCCCAGATATCACATGAAAGAAAAGTGAAAAAGTTTCTAAAATTAGCATTTAGCTTTTGACTAAACCACTTTGTCGTTTGGCTTTGTTGTTTGGCTTAACAATAACATGCATGTAGATTCAACTAGATTGGAGATGTTTCTTTTCTTTCCATGCCAAGTCCCGCCGAAGAGTTTGTAATCATGTCAGTTCGCAATTTTTCCCATACGATTTTCCTGTTTCAAAAGAAATTGAGCAATTGGGCAATATTAATCTACAGGGTGTATCAAAAAAAAGGAGACCTTTAGAAATCAAGCTATTGTTAAAATTTGAATGCCTTTTCAATTGCATTTGCACATATGCTGAACCGTAGCGCGTGAAATATTGATGGCGTGCATGCATACATATTAGAAAAAGGAGACCTTTAGAAAATGAATTGACGTTTATACACAAGATTGTCTGCTCCTGGGAATTTGAAAATAACTTTAATAGCATAAATAAAAATAACGACCCAAAAGTATTCAAATGACTAAGCACACTACCAGTACAAAAATGGTTCAACTGACTTCAGAGCAAAGGGTTTTTGTAGTCTTCACTTATACCCACTTTTACCCACATTTCACGCACTACGGTTCAGCATATGTGCAAATGCAATTGAAAAGGCATTCAAATTTTAACAATGGTTTGATTTCTAAAGGTCTCCTTTTTTTTGATACACCCTGTAGAACCTTTTTAATTACAGTCAAGCCAGATGTTCTCATTGTTCTGTTCCCCGCAATGTTGCAATATTGCCTACGATATTTTTATAAAAATAGGTACGCAATGCGTACATGTGGGTAGCCGTAAACATTAACTGCGATAAACCTATTTTGTATTCAATGTCAAACGACAGGCTGCTATAGTAAATATCAACGAGTAAATAGCGAGTAAATATCAACTGATGCTTAAGGCCCTGTTACACGGTGCAATTTTTCTTGCAACTTGCAATACAATTCTTCTTTTGAGAGATGTAAATTTGGCAACTACCGAACTTATGTCTTTATTACACTCCATGGCGTTTCTTACACTTACATTTTGAAGCCTCTTTACTAATTTACATCTCTTTAAAAGTAGAATTGCATTGCAAGTTGCAAGAAAAATTGCACCGTGTAACATGCCCTTTACTCTTAAATTCTAATGCCAAACAAAACGGCAAAAATGCCCTATAGTTAGCTAGTTGAATACAGTTATAAGTTATAACGAAGTCGATTTTATTACACAATCTATATATTATAATATTTTATTGTATTAAATGCATTTTATTACAGATCAAAACATATATAAAAGCATATTTACAAGAGATAGGAAATGCATATTTTTTAAGCAGAATAGTTGGAGAACAAAAAAGAGAGTAAGGTTCCAGAATGGTGGCACGAATGCTCTGATAACATAGCTTAGTTTAGAAGTAGAGAAAGAAGATTTCAGACGTTTTCAAATTATTTTGTTTTGATGTCCCTTGATTATATCAGCATGTCTTTGTTACATACAACATTGGTTATTTTGTTGATCAATGAATGTTATACAAGTTAATAAATGTTAGAATGGTTATTGCTCCAGTAAGATTATAATTTATAAGGCTTGTTTGCCAAAGTTTATTGACAATAACAATCTGTTATCACCATTATAACTAAGCTGATAGTGTGATTTCATAGATCCAGAAGGAAGGTACAGGTGGTTTGCAATGTTGATTACAGATAACTTATCAGCATGGAGATAATAGCACTAATTCCTAGGTCCAATAAGCCTGCATGGCTTGTTTGCAAGTTTCACTGACAATATCTTATCACTGTAGTAATCAGTCCGACAATCAGTCAACATTGAATGCCACCATTCATCATGGATATAAACGTGTATTGCTGCCTTTATACCAGGAAGGCATGTCCTAGGACCTGGATTTCCCTCCACATCATTTGAAAGTCTCAGTAATAATGGCACATAAACATTGTGATTGTATATAATTTGAACATACCATAAGCACAATTCACTGTTCTTTTGACTCTTAATCAATTGGTTCTTTAGATATGGCAAGCAAAATACATTAATATAAAACATTTACAGTATTTGATTCCAAATCTTGCCATTCAGATGGCAGAGTCTGTTTTGACTGTCTAGAAAATTGTGGTGTGAACCAATCCTGGAACGATGAACTTCAATAATGATGCCCATATTTGTAGCCTTAAACTTAATATTTTGTTTGAATATATCAGCAGAATGGCTGTCATTTTATTTATATGTACCAGCACAATGGATGGTTTCAATTTCAATACCTGCACTATGGCAAGGTCTAATTTTAATACCTGCACAATGGCAAGGTTTTTGCTTGCCATATCTCAAGAACCAATTAAGAGTCAAAAGAACAGTGAATTGTGCTTATGGTATGTTCAAATTATATACTATCACAATGTTTATTTGCCATTATTACTGAGACTTTCAAATGATGTGGAGAAAAATACAGATTCTGGGACATACCTTCTTGGTTCCTACTACTCAGTAATACACGTTTATATCAATGATGAATGATGGCATTCAATGTTGACTGTCGGACTGTCATATTGTCAGTGAAACTTGCAAATAAGCCACGCAGTATTAAAGATTTGCACGCTCATATAATCCGATTGTGATCAAAATTGCTCAACCACAACGTTGACTTTACCTTGACTTTTAATTATATAGAAATTTGTCAAAACTCAAAGCAGCCCTTCGAATAAAATTCTGACTAAACATTCACAAAATTTTCCGAAAGTATTGACAAACGCACGAACAGTATGTTCGTCACCTTTCGTTTATCCGACGAAAGCCGAAGATTAACGACAGACGTACGTATACCACTGAGCTATATAATAATTCCTGGAGGACCGGTTCTTGACCAGAAAGTGAAGCAAAAAACATGGCGGATTTCGGCGTTTGCTGACGCCACTTGGTTCCTTTTGCTCATGGTAGTTACCACTGACATACCGCGATACAAAGTGAGAAATTGAGTCCGTCTCCCTCCTGGATTTTATGAAAATATTTTCAGCTTTCCGTATATATTTTTTGTTTTTCATATAAAATGGATAAAAGTGTTTCTCTTTTTCCCTGTTCAACAAATGGAAAGGACACATAGCTTCGTGCTCTGCGTCTGACGTTGTGAATGGCTTAATTCACTTATCGGTAGGGTGAATTTTCTCATTTTGCTCTTATTTTATAACATCCAGGTAACTGAGGTAAGCCGTTTTTCAACTTTTTTACTATAAACAATTTCGTTTTTGGCCTTTCGAGTTGGACTATAGTATAAACTGGTTACCAAAGCCTCTGAGACAATAAATCCATCAAAACGTTTGGTACAAACAGTCAATGCAATGTTATATACCCAAATTTTATCATTTTTTCTTAACTTGTGTGGGGAAAAAATTATATTCCTGGCAGTGTCAATCTTTTGAGTTTGGTCTATGTTGTTTTCATGATAGCAAACATCAATGTTAATAGGTAAACCATATCCCCAGTGAGTCTACTATAGTCCCTCTTCTATTGATCCCACCCAGCATTAATTAACATGATCTGAGGGTGCTAATACAAAATAAAAAGATGCTGTAAACAGTGTAAATTAATTCCAACCTCTGATAGTGAGCCCTGTTAAAGCCTAGTTAATATATTATATTGTTTACTTTGTCAAATCCAAAGTGAAATGATCAATTATCATGGCTTTTAATTTATTTTTTAGCTTCTTGCACCTTGGGAATAAATCTTGATTATATCTCCATTTTTATTTTTCAGGATGAAGTTCATGCATTTTATGACTGTGCATTGTTATTCTTCATTACCATGTTATCTGATTTTGTTGTTGGCTGGTGTTTTTATACCATTTGTCATATTTATTAATTAATGAAATAAATATAAACATGCATTGACTGAGCAGTGTGTCTTCAATCTGCAGCAACTTTTGTAATTTTCTGTGTATGGTATCAACCTCCAAGAGGGCTATATTCATTAGGCTAATCAGTGGAGCCTATGGAGGGATAAATGTTATTTTTTCTATGACCAGGGGTCCAGGGATGCAATTAGAGAATGCTGAAAACAGGTTTATTAAGGTACAAGTTGATGACTTGTACGAAAAGTATATTATGCAAATATGATTCTTGGTTGAAACTATATTCCTGCACTTAGTATTCGTCAGCTGCCCAGCATTTTGCCTGAGCTATGGCCTCTGTTTCTTTGGATTTTGGATTGTGCATAGATATAAAGTCTTGAAGACAGCATCACATACTGAATACTGATTACATACTTCCTGCGCAATTCATCAGTTCAGGGTTTAGAAAAGTCAAATTGTTGCCCATAAATTCCTAGTTGTCTTCAAAATATGCGAGGATAGTGCCAAAACATTCAAACATTTGTAAACTTTCATATTGGAATGTATAAATAACAAAAATATTATTAAGACTAATAAAATAATAAACCTGTCAGTTTGTGTCAGTATTAAAATCTTTAGTTTGTCCACATTTTTCGATATTTTAATATATATTCGTTCCCGCACTGGCAAAAACAGCGTGTATGACTTGTATTCATCTTA